TTTACATCACTTTGAGTGAGTTCCATATGAATTCATGGCTAGTAATTTTTCATGGATCGTTAGATGAATTCTCTAGGTGGGCTCCATTTAGGTCAAGCTCCTCTTTCATGATGCTCCAGCTATCGGTTAAATACCTATAAAGGTATACACTCCTTTTTAAAAAATTGTCAAGTGCAAATTCAAAAAGTTTTTTTCCGGTATTAAAAGAATTAGAAGAGTAAGGGTCCATTTAGGACAATTGTAGTTTTTTTATAAATGTAGTTGTAAAGCTGCTATGGAGAAAGAATATTTTTTGAATGATGATGTAGAAGGCAACTTCCTAATACAAAAAAAAGGGAAATTTACATACATACCACTTTATAACATCTTATTTACATATCTAACACCTAAAACTTTAATATTACATGAATACCACCCTATATTATTTTAATATTAAAATAAGCTCAAGTATTTACTTCTTCAAACAGTGTTATTATCTTTAAAGGAAATTGAGACATTCTCTTTTTAAAGTGGATAAGCATTGCTCTCTTAAGGACCTCTATGGGGAGAGCTCAGACCATCGACATATCGATATCGACTCAATTTGCGAGTTCATGATCCTACTCGCATCACCTCTCATCATGATCGCCACTTCACTCGACATAGACAAGCTACACCAAAGACTAACAGAATAATTATTGTGTCTCATACATATTCATTGTAATTCCTCAAGCCCTATAAATAGAGGGAGGAGGGGACATAAAGAAATATATAGTGAGATAAAAGGATATTTTCTCCGTTCCCTTAAGGGAGAGATATATTATATCATTCTTACCGTAAGCTTTGCAGTACATAGCCCTCTCTTTCATTACTCTTGTACATCTGACTTGAATAATAAAGATTTTATCTAGATTTATATTCTCTCTCCATTTATCTCATATTTTGACTTCATCATATTCACCTCTAGGCTCTTAGTCCACAGCTGGCCTGAAGTATGGACTGGCATCATCCACTGGACATAACATGATTCAATAAAAACATTAAAATTATTAGAACTTATCTTGTACTTTTTGATAAAATAGTAAATTTCATAGCTTTTACTCATTAAATTCTCTTTCTTTCTCCTCTTTTCTTTCATCTTTCATCCATTCTTAATAGGAAATAGTATCACTCAAACAAATTTTGAATCTAAAAACCTCTAAGTTGCATTAAAAGTGGTAAATTGTCTAAAATTTAAAAAACCATATAATAAAACAACATAACATGGACATATTAGTTTGGATGGAGATCTAATACAATTTTATTAGCAAATTGCTAAATCAAATGGAAGAAGGGAAAATAAGAACTAAATAAAGAATTTTGGATTGTGTTCTAAAAATGACTTTACATATGAAATTCTTGAGGATGGATATTTGATTTCAATTTTTATGAGTTGATAGCTAGACTCATCTACGTCAAATATTTGTATAATCTTTATTGATAATGATCAACTGGTAACTAACAAACTATACAACAATACTATCATCATCAGCACCCTCATCATCAATTACATAATTATTAGCATATTGATCGACATATTAATTTATTAATTGATAAATATGTGTTATATACAAATTCAATATCATATATTTTATCTCTTAGAAAAAGCTGAAGAACTAATTGCAAAAACATCCCTAAAAAATTGGCTAGTCAAAGACTTCTAATGATTAGTTTTACTAGCTATTAAAGACCTTTTAAAACACATAATAAATGTGAAGAAAGCCTACTAATTGTCTAAAAAGCAGTGAAAAACCACCATAAGAAAATATGCAATGTTTTTTTTTTTTTTTGCAGCAAAATCAACTGAAAAATAGCAAAAATCTATCAATAATTTACTTGTTTAGTGGAATTGCAATGGATTTTGTTCCCATTAAAATATATTATTATTATTTTTCAATAAATATGTGAGCAAAATAATGATTATAAAATAAAAGAAATATTGTAACATTTAATTAAAATAGTAATAAATCATAATTATTATGTTACAAACATAAAAAATAAGGAAAAAAAAAATCAAATTTTTACTAGAAGCATTTGCATATCAATCATGGTTGAAAATTAAAAAAAGGATCAATTATAAACTTTGCATTTGCTAGAAGCATTTTTCATACCCTTTCATGGTTAAGCTGCTTGGCTTTAGTAGTTAAGTTGTAAGTCCCAATTTCTAAATAAAAATAGCCTGGGCAATCATGAAATTCATATAGACTTTTAAATCAGGATTTAGCTAATAGTCATTTTAATTAGGCAGGATTGTAAGTCCTACAGACTCTGGCTTGCCTAAATGCTTGGTGGGATTGAAAGCTTTATAACCCTTATAACTTCTTAGATTTAAATTTGAGCTATTATCTTTATAGTAGCTCTCATTTTATTTTTTAGCATCCGAGATTAATAATTGCTCCTTTTTACATCTTCAATTCTCACATCCAAAGCCTTTTATTGATCATGTGTTGATGAATTGTAAGCCTTAAAATTTTTAATAAAATGAATAACTCAATTACTAAATTTAAACTTTCAAAATCTTAAAAGCCAAACAACTGATACTTTAGGGTGTTTCTAAGCTTCTTAAAATATAATATACAAATGACTAAGGATAATAGATATTAAAAATTGGTCAACTTAGATTGAGCTAGGGTAAACCTAGATTGGCTAATAAAATATACCAAAAATTTATTGTGAAAAGACTTAAAACCCAATCCAATGAAAATTTAGATCTTAATATTTTGAATTTTAAATTAATTCTACCATTTTATTAATTATTTTCAAATTTATCAATGATCAAAATTTAGAATATTCAAACATCCTAACATTTTTTTGAAATTAAAATTGTATTTAGAATTTTAATGTTTAAGATTTTGAATCGAGACATAATTAAATTCAAAGTCAAAGTCAACCCAACTTTTCTTAATAATGATAATAAGTAAGGAAAATAAAAAATAATTAATAAATTTTGAATCAAGTTAAACCATCCTAGTTAAATTCTTCTAAGCGTTTGGAACCTTTCAATCTTTCAAGTGTTTAAGTCACTTTTAAATTCTTGAATCTTGAGCCTCATAGTTGAAAAATATAATTAACCTATGGGATATCTTAATAATTTCAAAATTAGTCTTTTAGAACTCAATTAAGAAGAAAAAATTTAGTTTGATTAGATCGATTAAGATTAGTTAGTTTCATAGCTTATTATGTATTAATTATAGAAAAAATAGAGCCTAAATTATTAAAATAGTTTGAAATACTAATGCAGTCAAGCTATCTTTTATGAACTTTGGGTATATAAGATATATATCTTTTATTCAAAATTGTGCATTAAATATTAAAATAGTAATTTTTTCATGTTACATATTTTTTTTTCTAGTTTTTAATGATGTTCTATGATGGCTCTCTTTAAATACTTTGTGTTTTTATTTATTTTGAGGAAAGCTTGAAAAACAATCAAGCTCGAAAAATAATTCCTCCATTGACTCCTATTATTCTAGTAGCTTTGATGTCAATTGTCTCTCATTGTGGGCACATGTTGGCAAGTGCTTATGAGAATTTAGACCATATTGTTCTATTATTTAGCATTGACATTGCTGCATACAAGTTTAAGTAGTTTGGCTAACATTTGTGATTGCTATAGTAAAAGTGCATACGAAAATGGGACATTCTATAAGCCTTTCATTAGAATGGTCTGTGTAACTATGAGCTTTAGGTCCTTTACTTCTTACATCTCTTTCTAGAATTAGGAAATAAAGCTACAAAATGACTTGTCAGGCTCATGGCACATCTTCAAGAGAGCCTATGAGTTCTTGAAAGGCCTCTAGACTCTTGCAAATTGAGTGTTGAACACTCCCTTGAATTTTGAGGATGATGATTACATCTAGTGGTAGGCGAGTGAACCATTGAACGATCAACTCTTTGACGGAAGCAAAGAATAACCAGCCCTTCAAGGCATCATAAATGTCAAGAAATGACATCATTGAAATAAAATGAGCAACGTGGTCAATAGGGTTTGTCTTATGCTAATTTTGATAGTGATCTTGTTTTGGCAATCTCCCTATAGAAAATGTATGTCAGCTCAAGTTCTCTCTTTTACACTCACTGGGCTGAGGGTTGTACTCATTATCATTAGTTTGGTTGCAAGTAGGTTCGATTAGGTGTTGAGGTAAGCACCATAGTCTATGGCTTTCTTTGATATGTTGTTGAGTCAGATGATTCATCTAGTGTGCTTTCTCTTGGAATATACCTCAGCATTCTTTTTAGTGCATTCTAGATCATCTTGACGAGTCTTTATTTTATCTCCATCAAGTCACGACGAGTTGTATAAACAAAATTCTTCATGTTCACGGATTGTTTCAAATTTGTTTGTGGTGAGTCCTCTAAATATGTGGGTGAGTCAACAGAGATACTACTTAGACCTCCAGGCACATGAGCTTCAATAAGTGGACATGGTCGCTAACGGAGAATTGACTCAGCCTCATACATCACAAGTAAGACATTCTAATATCTACTGTCGACGAACAATCCTTGTTAAGGTACATAACCTTGAGGGCTCCGAGTGGTTTGGACGAGTCTCCAATGGAGTTTGTCGAGGCCAATTATGCCTTACTCTAACCTTTTGAGACGAGTCTTCATGTGACAATTCTTCTAAAGAGAGTAGCTAAGAATTCATCAGCTTGGGTCAATCAATTTGCTATGTGCCCGCATTATTCTTTAGTGACTCCTCTTGAATAATGTGACTACTTTGATCGAGTCTCTTAACTAAAATAGGTTTCATGCACATAAATCACCAGCACTAAGATAATTTTGATTCTAGATAAAATTTTGAGTTTATTTCTTCAAATAACAAAATAATGGCTACATTTAATAAAATAATGATCAAATTTATGTTATTTAACATTATTAATATATTTGGCATGTGCTTCTCTAAAAAAAATAATGAATAATAAATAAAAAAAATATAAAAATATATCATTCAGGAAAGGACCTGGAAGCATCTGCAGACCGCACGCTTCAAACGCCAAAGACACGGCTTGTTCTTCGTCATTTCCACTGGTTTGAATTCTGCTCTATTTCCTTCTTCGATTTGTCATCTCTCTAGATTTTTCCCTTCTGCGGTTCTCCCTTTCGGGTGCCTGGTAGATCGATCTGGTTAGCGACTCCGATCTCCTCCATCGATTTTCTTTGAGGTCGCGATCTTAACTTTAAATCTTTTATCGTTTTTCCTCGAGTTTTGTTTTCCTTTTGGGAGCATTTAATCGAGTACGATGTGGTCGTTGGTAGAACGGGAGGTATTTGTTTGATGGTATAGGATCTGTTGCTCTTGCTTTGTTGATTAACGATTTTTCCAGGTGGTTGATCGATGAAAGTGTTTTCGGGTGCTGCCTTAATTTGTGATGTTTCATTTCTTATGGTTTTATGATCATTTTACTCCGTGGATTTGAATAGATCTGATATTTTTTACTTTCTTTTAGTGTTTATTTTCCCTTTTATTGCGATATGGTCGCCGATCCAACGTATCATTACCGTTCAGAAATGAAAAGATGGTCGTCTCTATGTTTTGATTGAATCGGTGTTTCAAAATTTGTGTTAACCCTAACTTTGGCAAAAAGAAATCTGTTAAAAGTTTCTTTAATTGCGAATTTGGTCGAAATCCTCACGCTGTGGTTTTCTTCGTCAGAGATTGTCGGTCGGCTGTGAATTTACAAATGACTAGGGGAGTTGGGGAATCAACGAGTAGCGAGGCTTCTAATTTTTTCAACTCTGGAAGTAATAGTACACCTAACAATGATGCTGGAAGTTTTGAGTGCAACATCTGTTTTGAATTAGCGCAAGATCCAATCGTTACTCTATGTGGCCATCTATACTGCTGGCCCTGCCTTTACCAATGGCTCCATGGCCATGCACATTCTTCTGAATGCCCAGTCTGCAAGGCCGTCATTGAAGAGAATAAGCTAGTTCCTCTTTATGGTCGGGGGAAATCATCCACGGATCCGCGGTCTAAATCCAATCCCGGTGTTAATATTCCTCATCGTCCTGCCGGACAAAGGCCCGCAACTGCTCCGCCCCCTGACCCTAATCATTTTCCTCAGGCAAATCCATGGTTCATGGGTGGGGCACCTGTGGGTAGTGCGAGATTTGGTAACTATACTTTCTCTGCTGCTATTGGTGGTCTGTTCCCATTACTCAATTTCCAGGTGCATGGATTTCCCGATGCAACTACTTATGGTCCTGGTGCTGGATTTCAATATGGCTATCCTCATGCATTTCATGGTGGGCATGCCCATGGTTACCCCCGGCAAGTGGCTCATGGGCAGCAGGCTGATGTGTATCTCAAAGCACTTTTGATCCTGGTCGGTGCTCTTGTAATTGCTTCTCTTGTCTGGTTTTAGTTAATTGTAAATTTATATTAGCTATGCATTTACGGAACCATTCCTTTTATGATGTTGTGTGAACTGAAATGTTTTCATTCTCCTCATATATGTAGAAATCTTGATTCATTGCTCATAGAAATGATCGGTATGAACTCTATTAGACAAATTTTGGCTTGTTCTCATATTCATTGTGTTTTTGTTTGACATATATTTACAAATCTCTGTGTATATAAGCATGTATGTATTTCAAAATTGAGATTGATTGCCTAATTAGTTGTAGAATATGGAGCACAAAAATACTATCCTTTTCATTGGTGTTTCTCTGTAGTAGATGATAATGAATGTTTGTCTGCTATGGATACAATTTTTAGAAAAAAGTTTGCTCTTTTTTTTCTTCCCCCTTTTGTAATGTGAGTTCCTGTTGCAAGGTTGTCTACACATTAATCTATTATGATCAACATTTATCTATGACCAGAGGTAGTCTTCATGTATTACTATAATCCCATGGTTTGATACTTCACTCTTTGTCACATTGTAACTGATTTTCATACAAAGGTTTTCAAATGTCCTGTTACTGTTTTTGCATATTCCCCTTCAAATTTAGTATCAACAGGAAGCACAATTTAGTGTGTTTTGGCACATAAAAGAATCACACATGGCATGGTTTTGTTCCTCATTCTTGTAGTTGAATTTCTTCCTTGTTCAATCCACAAATTGATTCTTACGGCACATAGTCAATACAGAAGCATGATTCCACAATGTTTTCAAGTTTTAATTTTTGTATATTTTGGTGAGCTGGGTTGACTCTGTGTTTAAGTTTATTGACCATAGGAGTCATGGCTTTCACATTGGTTAATTATAACAGATTTAGGTATTGTAGACATTGTTACCATTTCAAATTTATACAGAATGGTTGTTGCATCTCAGTAACCATATAGAATGAACTAACAACTATATAATAGTGTAGTGTTCATTATTAAGTGTGTGTGCTATGATTGTTAAATTGACAGAAGAAATTAAAGATTAAAGCAGTAATTAATCATTAATTTTAATTGCTTATGGTTTTAATCATTTTAAAGAAAGAGTATTGATGACTGTGAGCTCTATATTGTAGGTATGGAGTTATGATAGCTTCTATAATTGGGGATCGTGTAATTATTAAACTTATGCTGGAGAAGTCTACTATGGAAGCTATATATTTATTTAGAGGTTTGATGAATATGTATATAGATAGTAAGAAGGGTATAAATATGATATTTATTGATTTAAAGAAAGCATATGATAAGTTCCAAGATAAGTATTTTGGAGACTTCCAAAGAAGAAATTAGTTAATAATGTTTATATTAAAGTCATTAAGGATATGTATATAGGAGTTGTTATTTGTGTTCAAGCAAAATGTATTTTTGACTAAATATTTTCCTATTTCTGTATTTCATTTAGATTACATCAAGAATCAGCTTTAAGCCCATATATTTTTAGCATTAGTCATCGATATTTTTACTAAATATTTGCAAGATGATGTATCTTGGTATATGCTTTCCTCTTGTTGATAAGACTAAAGAGGGAGTCGATGAAAAATTTCAATTATGGAGGTCAATCATACAGTCTAAAGGATTTCATTTGAAACCAAATACATAAAGAGTAATTTCAATAATAATGAATTTAGTGGTGGGATTATAACATTGGGTGATCAAGTCATTAAAAATCTTGCACATTTTAAATATCTGTGAACTATTGTTCAAAGCGATGTGAAATAGGTAAGGATATTATTAATAGAATTTAAGTTAGATGGTTGAATTGGAGGAATGCATTGAGCATGTTGTGTGATAAGAAGTACCCTCAAACTTAAGAGAAAATTTTATAAGGTGGTGTTAAGCCTTACAATGTTTTATAACGCAAAATCTTAGCTATTAAAAGAGATGTATAAAATTAAATCAATTGTGATACTCAGGCGGATAAGTGATTTGATACACAGAGACAAAAATGTGAAACAAGCATATATGTGAAAAGGTTGGAGTAGTTCCATTAGCAGATAAGATTAGAGAGAGCCGCCTTAGAAGGTATGATCACATAAAACTTCGGCTTTTCGATAACCTTATTAGGAGAGTAAATGTATTAGCTCCAGCATATTTTAAGATTTAAAAAGACCTGGTTAGAAAATATTAAAATATCTTTATTTTATTGTATTTAAATGAGAATTTGATTGTTAATAGAACACAGTGAAGAAAAAATCGTTCACATATAGTTGGGATAAAGGCCTGTTGTTGTATGCCATTGATCTCATGATATTTATGCCAACTCAGGATTTGCCTTGTAGATTTCATTGTGGCTTATCTTCTCTAGATTTTTTATCATAAGTCCGTTTGGTATATTAGGGCATCGCCAAGGAACCGAACGTCATTCTCTTATCGTCTATTTGCAGTTGTCACGGTTCTCCACCCAAACATCAAATAGAAATGCATTTTGCGTTTTCTCTCCGCTGTGAGCATTTACGGGTAATATTGACTCTGCCCTGTTCAAAACACAAAACAACGTCCTAATTGACGCTCGCGGGTATTGTAAACTAGAGAATGTCGTTTGGTTGGAGATGGCCATAGCTTCAAATGCTTATGTATGCATTGAAATAATCTTTTAATGTTTTCTAAAGTAGTTTTTAAGTCAAAGATTTTAATTTTTATATTAAAAAGTTATTTTAAAAAACAATAAAAAGATTATCCCAAATGAGGCCTTCATATTTTTATTTCTCATATTATTTTTATAAAATTAGTTTTATGTGAAATGAAATTGAATCGCAGCAAATATTGAGAGAAAATGAATCTAAATTTAACAAAGGTTAAGCAAAAAATCAGTTGATAAATCAGGTAAAACAACAGTGTAATCTGCAATAGCAATTGCAGACAAACAATGCATACGTAAATCTAATAGAGTAACATAATAAACTAAATTATTCAAAAAAAAAAAAAAAAAAAAAAAAAAAAAGAGATGGAATAGAAAAGTAGGGAAATGATTTGGACGATTTTTTTATTAAAAAAAAAAAAAAAAAAGAGATGGAATAGAAAAGTAGGGAAATGATTTGGACGATTTTTTTATTATTTTATAAACTAATTTTTTAATGCAAAAAATTATTAAAAGCAGAAAAAAAGAATAGTGATTTAAAGCGCTCACAAAACCTTAACCCTCTTAGTGATGTAGTGGATCGTCGGAAGATCAAACCTGCAAGAAGGATTTCAAGGAGTTCCCAATCCAGGGAAGAAGAGAGCTTTCTC